TAGGACAGGCTTTACCTGCCAAAGGTCACGTAGGTGAGGATTACCATACCACAGGCTTTACCTGCTGAGGGTCACGTAGGTCAGGATAGCCGTACCTAGCACAGGCACGTAGGCTCTTGGTCAGTTAAAGGGCCACCTAACTACATCTCCACCTTCCTTTTTTTATAAAAAATGCCAGCTAGGGGGAGCATTGACTGGGCCCCTCCAGGATATCAATAAAATCTTTGTTTTGTGGAGGGGAGGAAAGTAGACAGAGCCCGTTTTCCCCTGCCCACCGTATTAGCGGAGGGGAGCCGTGGAAAAAGGCCAGTGTTAGGCAGATGAAACCTCCATGCATGCCCAGTGTACTCCACAGGGAGTCGGAATCAGCCATGAGGCCTCCCTTGCAGTGCTTTGCCTAGCGGCTGAACAAAATGGAATAGGGTAAAGTCCGACTCCTCCATACCCAGATTGTCAGATCAGAGAGGGGCAGGGGAGCTGGCCATGAACAACTCAAGGTTGGGTCCAACTAAATACGACCTGCGAGCCGTCTTCTGTAGCAGCAGAATTTGTGGCCGCATGGTCTAGGGGAGTATCTTCCATTGCCAGGCGGTGATAATGCACCTGTATAGGTGCTGCCGCCAGTGAGGCAACCTGCTGTTTGATAAAGCTGATTAGATGGTTAAACACGCAAGGGCCAATAGTAGCAATTAACAAGAGTGAAGTAAGGGGGCCCAAGAAGGGGAGTAGGTATGGGAGAAGAGTGTGAAAGCCCCAGGTAGAGGTAGAGGACTCTCGTTGGCGTTGTCTGAGCTCTAAACCCTCGCGGAGTTCCCGCATGGTATCCCGAATGACTCCACTATGATTGACATAGAAACAGCATTCCTCCCCCAGTGCGGAACAGAGTCCACCCTCTTTCAAAAAGAGAAGGTCAAGTCCTCTCCGATTCTGCAGGGCAACTTCAGACAACAAATTGAGGGATTCTTCCAAATGGGTGATCGAGCCTTCCAAGCAGCTGATGTCTGCCTCGACAGCAGCATGAAGGGAGGCTAGTGCAGAGTGTTGAGTCACCAGGGACGCGATGCCCATCCCTGCGCCCGCAAGGGTCAGGGTCAGGAGGGTAGCGACAGTGATGGCTGTGAACGGGTCGCGACGATTACGATGGAGGTCAGTCCTATTGTCCCAAGGGTCCAAAAAGGAATTGGCTGGATGGTAGAAAACTCGGGGAAGGACAACAATGGAGACACAGAAGTCCTGGGCGGGATGAAAGACGGATCCGGCCAGATGTGGGGTAAGTCCCGCCCAAACGCACAGCCACCAGGATCCAGATGAAGGGAGAACCCACTGGTCTAACTGGAGAAAAGGATCAGGGATGTGGGTGGCGCATAGTTTGGAAGCGTCAAGGGAAGGAGGTGCGGCACCAACACAAAATCCATGGCCTGATACATCCAGGAGGGAAAGGTTCGAGAGGACAGAGGCCCACTCACGGGAGGTATGGAATAAGGCAAGGGGCTGCCTAAGAGGTCAAAAAATGGGGGGGACGGTTGCAAGCACAGCCAGCAGCTGCATGTAAGGTTTGGGGAGGTGCGGTTGAGGGAGTCAAAAGAGGCCATGACTAAGCCACAAAGAGAGTCACTCGGGTGTGGCTCGAGACCTGGGGAAGGGACCCGGTCTGTGGGGACTACTGGGATGGGAGTGCTGGGGGTGGTCGCAGGTGGAGCTAAGGGAGCCGGCTGGACAAGGTAGTGCCAGACGCGAAAGAAAAATCTGATGGCCTGACCTGTCAGAGTGCTGCCCGAAGTGCGGACCCCCCAACGGAGGCCATCTCCCTCCCAACGGGAGCTGGGGAGCAGTTTCCCCAAGGGTGTGAACAATAGGAGGAACATGCGGCAACTGTCAGCCCCAGAGGGGGGAATACATCCCGACGAGCCGGGGGCCGTGGCTCGGTGGCTATAAATCAGGTAATCGAGGCGGGGGGTGGAGAGAGACGAGGGAGGAAGGCCCGCTACGGAAGATTCACAGCCCCAATTCTTACCAAAAATGTCAGGCACACCCCCGCACTCAGGACGATGAGGCTGTTCTGGACAAATGTAAATGGTAATTTCCTTCCACGAGTGGTCACAGAGGGACTTGGGCAAGGGCCGCCACTGTAAATTGGGGAAGGCATGCAAAGAACCATTGAGTATGGCATGGCAGTAATAGACCTCTAAGTCAGGGAACCAGGAAAGGGTTTGGGGAGCGCACTTGCAGAAAACACGAGTGGCATCCTTCACAGCGAGTTGTCTCTCATTTGTCATCGGGTCGATGAATACTTTCCAGCAGATGGATATAGGCTGGTGTGCCTCACTGTTTGACGGTCAGCACCGGACTGGGTGGAGTGTCATGAACAGCATCAGCAGGATTTCCAGGGACATCTGTGGGGAAAATAGAGGTGTTCTCAGGGCCAGGCAAGGTTCTGGAATTTGTTACATGATTTATAGGTCAGACAAGGTGGGCAGGAAGCCAGCGAGCTGCTCCTTCACGGGTATCAAAAATGCAAGCATGTCCTCTGCCCCAGATCAGGACCGGGTCCGGGCCATGCCACTGAGCCGTGAGTGGATCCTTCCATTTAGGCATAGCATAGGAGTTTTTCGAGTCAGAGTGCCAGAAACGATCTGCAGCACTGCGGCCATCCTTATCCAGGCTCAAAAAATTGAGCACAAACTGCACATGGGACAGCAGTGTCTTAGGAGAGTTAGAGGCACCATATAGGTTTCTATCCTTCACCAATTTGGAGATATACATTTTAAGGGTAGAGTGGGCTCTTTCCACGATACCCTGGCCTTGTGGATTGTAGGGAATTCCGGTAGTATGCTGTATTTGGAATTGTTTGAAAAAGTTCTGAAAATTTTTTTCCAGTATAGCCTGGGCCATTGTCCGTTTTAATGCACTGAGGCTTCCCCAGGATAGATAGGCAGTAAAGGATATGAGCGATAACATTCTTAGAGGCCTCGCCTGTCTGAGCAGATGCACAGATATACCCGCTGAAGGTATCTATTACCACATGGACATATCTGAGCCGTCCAAAAGAGGAGACGTGGGTGACATCCATTTGCCAGAGTGCGTTAGGAACCAAGCCTCTGGGACTGACTCCCAGGTGGGGTGAAGGCAGAAAGGTGACACAAGACTGGCACTGCTTAATGATTTGTCGGGCCTGCTCTTGAGGGATTTTAAACATCATTCTTAAAGTATTAGCGTTAAGATGATGAAGTGCACGAGTCTTAGTGGCCTCGGATACGGGGTCTGGACTGGAAACAGAGGCTGCAATCAGCCGAGTAGCCCAATCAGCCCTGTCATTGCCTTCGGATAGTGGGCCAGGGAGCCCAGAGTGGGCTCTCAGATGGCCTATGAAAAAGGGGAGACGGCAGGAGCAGATGCACTGTTGAATCTGTAAGAACAAACTGGTCGCCTGAGAGGATTCCTTAATATAGCTGACAGTTTCAAGGAGCGGAACGGAAAAGGCTACATAGGCACTATCTGTGTATAGATGAAAAGCTGTCTGAGGGAAGTCCTGAAAAACTTTACAGACGGCCGACAGCTCCACCAACTGGGCGGACGTATAGTCTGTGCGAGAGAAGACAACCTTCTCTTGGTGCACGTATGCTGCCATCCCACTAGAAGATCCATCAGTGAAGATAGTGGGAGCCCCGGGGATGGGGTTATTTCTAGTGACAGTGGGGAAGATCCATCTGTGTATCTTGCAAAATTGAACCAGTCTGTCTGGAGGGTAATGATTATCTATGAGTCCCTCAAAAGAGACACAGGCTATGGGCCAGTCATCGGAATTCTGGAGTAGCCAGTTTACCTGGTCTCAGTCGTAGGGCTGAATGATGGTGGTTGGCTCTAAGCCGAAGTATTTTCTGCAATATTCCCTCCCTAGTCTGACTAATGAGGAAACAAGGAGGTAATAGGGAGTGAGGACACGTCTGGGGGTCGAGGGTAGAGACAACCAGGAAACGGGATGGGTCTGCCAAACAAGACCTGTAGGGGAGTGTGGGGTCGCAAAAATTATCAGAGAAAATGGGAGCTCATAGTTCAGGGCAACGATAAACTGTTCATCAATGGCACGCTCTACAAGGGCAAGGGCGCGTCGGGTGTCATCTGTAAGTGTACAGGGGGAACTAAAATCAGGATCGCCCCGAAGGGTGTCAAATAGAGGCTTAAGGTCATCTTGTGTCAGCTTAAGGCAGGGTCGGAGCCAGTTAATATTGCCTAATAGCTGCTGAAAGTCATTTAAAGTCCTCAATGTGGAAGTCATGAGCTGAGCCTTCTGGACTCTGATTCTAGATCGGTCGATCTGAAAGCCTAAGAAGGAGTAGCGGTCACTCATCTGAATTTTGTCTTGAGCTATGGAAAACCCTGCATGAGTTAGGGTGTCAATCATATGATTGCAGCAACGCATAACTTCATCTGGGTGTGGGCCAGCAAGCAGGATATCTTCCATATAATGGATGATGTAAAGATCCGGCCATTGTTCCCTGACCGGGGACAGAACACTCGCAACAAACTTCTGACACAAACTGGGGCTGTTGGCCATTCCCTGAGGTAGCACCTTCCACTGAAACTGCTTCATCGGGCCTCTGAAATTTGTGACGGAAACACTGAAGGCAAATCGGGGGTGATCAGCAGGGTGGAGGGGGATGGAGAAAAAACAACAGTCCTTTAGGTCAATAACAATCTTGTGCCATAGGGCGGGGATGACTACGGGCAATGGTAAGCCAGGTTGTAATGCTCCAAAGACCACCATGGTCTTGTTTATTGCCCTCAGATCCTGGAGCAGATGCCACTTCCCCGATTTCTTCTTGATCACAAAAATGGGCGTATTCCAGGGGGAATTGGTCAGTTCTATGTGTCCAGCAGCGAGCTGCTCCTGCACTAGCGCCTCCGCTGCGGCCAGTTTTTCTGAGGACAGGGTCCATTGATCTACCTACATAGCATCATCTGATTGCCAGATAATCTTATCAGTGTGGGGTACAGGCAAGTCAACGGCCATTATGGTAAATTTCCCAGTACTTGTCGTCCTACAGAGGGGGAAGGCATCACGGGTTCAGTGAGGCCCTGGGAGTGCCTTCCCAGACCTTGACTAGGAAGATAGCCCTGCTGACGTAAAAGATCTAGGCCTTTGGTATCTACTAGGATCGGGTCCATTTGGGACAAGACATCCCTCCACCACAGATTAACAGGCAGGTCGGGGAGGACATAGGGGTGGACGTGGCCTTCCTCTCCTTTGGGGGTCCGCCACTTGAGTTCAGTTGAACTTAATATTGGGTTTTTTGAATGGCCAATCCCCTGCAGGTGTGTTAAAGAGGGGGAGAGTGGCCATTTGGGCGGCCAGTCCCTAGTAGTAATGATGGTAGTATCAGCTCCAGTATCTATAAGGCCGGTAAAGGGCCTGCCTAAGATGGTGAGGGTCAGGAGTGGCTTACACTCCTTTATAGCCTGAGCCAAATGCACCCCCAGTGGCACGGGGCCGGTGGCACCAGGAGCAAGGCCAGGCGGGATGAGGAGCAATTAATCAATGTGGGCACCCAGATCTATACGTAGGAAGGAAGACGTAGTCATGGCCATAATGCTAAGCTGGCCAGTGAGAGTATTATCTATAGTGCCAGGAAGGACCTGGAATTCTTCCAGTATAAGATTCCCCCTCCCGATAATGAGGCCAACCATTCCGGCAGACAGAGACCCCTGGAAATTAACTGGGATGGGCTGAGGTCCCTGTGCCTGGGTTAAGATTGTGGGGGAGGTGGTACGGAGGTCCAATTTGGAGCTTCCTGGGATGGCACGCAGGAGGGAATCGAAGCCGGAGGGGGAACAAGGGCCAGAGGTGGAAGAGTTTGGGGAGGAAGAAAGGGGGTGCCCCACCTGCCTGCTGCATTACGGGGCCCTGGGGCCGGCCCCACGACAAGTTTCCCGGGCAAGAGGTAACTCCAACGTGGCAGTCTGATGCCCGATGGTACCCGTCCTTACACTTGGGGCATAATGTATGTGGCATGCGCGCCCTCTCTCGCTGTGGGCAGTGGCGCCGGAAATGACCAGGCTTGTTGCAGCCAAAGCAGAATCTAGGGTCAATTGGAGCGGTCATGGGAGTATGGGTTAAGCCTTTAAAGGACGCCCCAATGGCCAGTCCAATTTTGTGAGAGGCGGGGTCTACATCGGCGCACAGGCAGAGGTAGTCAGAGAGGGTCTTGCCTCCTTTATGAGTACGAAGGACGTCCTGGCAGACAGAATTAGCATTTTCATAGGCTAAGTGGCAAATAAAGTCGTTATCAGTGTCGCCTCCCCCCAGGAGGCTCTCAGCAGCCTCCCCTAGGCGGCCAACAAAGTCATTGTAGGGCTCGTTAGGGCCCTGGTGGACTTTGGAAAGAGAGGTGACAACGGAACTCTTGGTTGGGAGACCCTTCCAAGCCTTCAAGGCTGCCGCCTGAATCTGTGTGAGAAGGCCAGGAGGGAACTGAGCCTGAACCTTGTTAGAGGAGAAGGAATCATTATCCAGGAATTTGCTCAGTACCCAGGGGGAGTAGGACCCTCCCGCAGCGAGATTCCGCCGGGCCATATCCTGACAGGGATCATGATAATCCACCTTCCAGAGCAGATAGTCTCCGCGGCTTAAAACGGCACGGGTCAGGGAAAACCCATCATTAGGGGTGAGCCAGCTCTCGCTAAGGGATTCTAAAAGGCTCAGGGTAAAGGGGGCAGTTGGACCTCCTTTGGACCAAAGGAGGCAACAGCATCCTTAATGTCTTTAATATCACTAAACTTCAGTCTTTCATAGCGCTGTCGTCCATGGGCTCCCACGTGGGTCTCCCCTGGCTCTGAGTCCCTTGCATCCCTGCCTGGATTAGGAGCCTCCTCGATGCCCTCACGGTCATCTGGGAAGTCTGCCTCTTGGGCTGCTCCCTCCCTCTCCTCCCCTGAGGGGCCTTGAGGTGAGAGGCATCTACCAGACCGGAGAGCAGGAAAGATCTGAGGGGCTTGCAGCCGAGCTTCTTTAACCGGCGGGCTTAGTGAGTCAGGCGGGGTATTTGGAGATAGATCAAGTTGCCTGATCTGCCCCAGGAGGTCCAGGAATTCCACAGAATGCGGAGGGGAGTGCTTGGGGAGGGGATCCCTGATGACTGGATATAAGCGTGGCATTGAACATTCAGGGGGATAGTACTGAGAGCCTGCAGGAGGTTTCTCAGGTGGCTCCTCAGGGGGCATAGGGATTGACACAGAGGGACACGGGGACCGACAAGGTTCCTCTGTCTCTGCGGTGGGGGTGGGGAGAACAGAAGGCGGACGGGAAGGCGTGTGGGAGTGAGGGTTAGAAGGGCCATAATCTTTAAGGTCTCAGAGTCTTGAACTATCTGGTGGGAATCTGACTGAACATGTCGGACTCGAAGGACCTCATTAATGAGATTCCAATAAGAGAAAGTCGGAACGGGGATTCTCTTGGGGCCAAATGTCCTGTAATAGTCTTTAAGACAGTCTCCTACATGGCCCCAACATTTCTCATCGATGGTCCCTCCTTGAGGGAACCAGGGACAGATCTTCTCAATAAGAAAAAAGAAATTTACGAGATCCTTTTTCTTGACCCGGATACCCCGGTGCTTAAGGGATGTCTTTAAACCATGAATAAACAATTCCTTCTTCCTTAAACTCTGACCCATTGTCAGAGGTCAGGAGAAACAGCGTTCAAAGATACAGATACACACGAATATACAGATTATGAAACAGAAAATGAGAAATATAGGAAGAAGAGAGGGAGTAAGACAGATGAAAGGAATAGAAGGCAGACAAGATATAAAGATTGACGAGACAGGAGATGGGTCACTGGAAGGCTGTACCCCCGCGTGAATACCTGGGAAAAACAGATGCGAGACACGGGGGAGGCCCAACAAAGGGGCCCACTCAGGTGCTTCTCTGGCCGGTGGGAAACTTAGCCGTAGTGGATCAGCCAAAGGTGACTTGCGGCCGACGTCTAAGTCAGCACCACCATAGACCATATGTTTCCCGTGGAACTGCAGGCAGCCCAACCGGATTCTGTAGCCTTTTTGGGGATCTTAGGGGTGCCCAGCTGTGGAACAACAAACTCGAATCAAAGGCGAGGACGCCCCTGACCGCTCATTCACTCACACACACATTCCACAAAGGACACGACAAAGGGGCGTAGGGGGGCCTTATCCAACCCAGTGACCGTATCATATACCTCATATGAGACTGAACACTTAATTCTCCCCTGATGCCGCCCCGTAGACCTCTATAATGAGGCAGGGGCTAGTACCCACTCAGCCTCGAATGAGATGGGGATCTGCCCACTTGGCCTCGAACGAGACGGGGATTTTTGATTAGGCGTGCTCTTACCTTTCCGTGCGTCCCGGTGGCCACCGCTTCCTGAAGGGGAGTTCGGCAGTCGTCTGCCAGCACCACCCCGTGTGGGCGCCAGTTGCGGGGGGCCCCGCCAGACCACTCTCCGGCCCACGGAGGTGGCCCTAGGATCCATAGGTGCAGGGAAAGACTGACTGAATGAACACAAGACACGAGAGACAGAATGGAGCTTAGAAACAAAGAGAAAAAGGGACAGGCTTTATTGAGGGTGATGGGGGTATATATTAGTGAGGCAGTTACACAAAGGGTTGTGCTCAAAATGTGATTAGGAAAGTTACAGAGTCTATAAGTTTAACCTACCATGCATTACAAAGCTTATCCTAAGTTAATCATTGTCAGTTACAGCCATGACAATTGTTTTCTCGGGATAATCATACATAGGACAGGCTTTACCTGCCAAAGGTCACGTAGGTGAGGATTACCAAACCACAGGCTTTACCTGCCGAGGGTCACATAGGTCAGGATTACCATACCATAGGCTTTACCTGCTGAGGGTCACGTAGGTCAGGATAGCCGTACCTAGCACAGGCACGTAGGCTCTTGGTCAGTTAAAGGGTCAGCTTCCCACAACATAAGGTAAAGGTAAAGGTAAAGGCCCTCCCGTTGATCGTCGATTTGCTCGAGCGGGCCCAGTAACGTCTCCATTGGAGACTTTGTGTTACTGTGTCTGGCATATTGAATACTCTCCGTAGCTTGCCGGGCTCTCCGAGAGGGGCGGAGGAATCGAACTCGGGTCGGCCATGTTGGCCACTTGTAAGGCGAATGCCCTACCCGCTGTACTATCGCTCCAGCCCCCGCCCCAAAACATAGCTGTGTAAAAATTTTCCAACTCAAAAGAACAGACACAGTAAGTGGAAATAACACCCTCTGCAGAAAAGTGAAGCCTCAGTTTAAAGTGAAAATTAAAAGGGGCCTGAGACTGGGTTTGGTTCTAGCTCAGTTTGGAGCCCGGGCTTCACATGTGAAGGCAATGATGTATCCCTACACAGCCGAGATGGGCCTTTGCAAACATCTCACCTGAAGCAGATTCCTCTGCAGGATCATTGAGTTTTTTGTTATCTTGTTATATTTACTTATGTGGGGAGAGAGTCACACCAAGCATTGCTCAAGGATTCCTGCTGCTGGGGCACTGGGGGCCATGTGGTGTGCTGGAATGGAACCATAGTTTTCTTCCTGGTGCCAAGCAAGTGTCCTTCCTAATGCAAAACCACTAGTGCTGAACCATTGAGTTCTTTTCAACACACTTGTCCTTGCTGTCTATCAAATGTAAAGTCACAGTATTTCCCCTGTAATAAAAATAATTTTGGGGGAGTCGGTGCCATAGTACAGGGGTAGGCATTTGCCTTACACACAGCCAGCCCAGCTACAATCTCAGGCATCCCATATGGTCCCCCAAGTACCCCTAGGAATAATTCCTGAGTGGAAATCTAGGAGTAACCCCTGAGCATCAATGGATGTAACTCAAAAAGCAAAAATTTAATATTTTTTTTAGGTTTTATAATTTTAGTATATGTGCTGCCAAACGGTTGGAAGATACCATGTTGAGTGAAGTTAGCCATAAAAAGAAACAAAAACAGGATGATGTCACTCATCTGTGGAATACAGAACACTGGATGTAGAAATGTACTCTAAAGGGGCTACTTAAATCATCCCTGACTCCAGTGTTTAGAGAGAAACCGGTCAAAGAAGGAAAGAAATCTGGGGGCAGAAGAGAACCAGAAGTTTACAGGGATTAGGGCTTCATTTATGCCAGTGACATGAGTGAGGGGTGTAATCATTTACCCAAAATACAGATGCAACAGAACTGAAAACAAGAGATCTAAGCCGCAATCACTGAAACTTAGTCATGTGGTTGTCCAGAACAGGCGGGAGTGGAGTTGGGCCTGGGGTGGGTATGGAATATGGGAACACGTGTGGAGGGAAGCTGACATGGGTGCAGGGATTGGTGTTGAATTATTGTATGCCTAAGTACAACTACGAATAACTTTGAAAATCCTGGCACTTAAAAAAAAAGCAATACAATAAAATAAATTTCCAGATTTCAGCACCCGCTGAAGTTAAAGACCCTCTAGTCCCAGCATTAGGCTCTGAATTATTTTTTTTTGCTTTTTGGGTCACACCCGGCAATACACAGGGATTACTCCTGGCTCATGCAATCAGGAATTACCCTAGAGCTGCCCGGGGGACCACATGTGATGCTGGGAATCGAACCCAAGTCGGCCGCGTGCAAGGAAAATGCCCTACCTGCTGTGCTATCACTCCAGCCCCAGGTTCTGATATTTTTCCTGTGGTGCTGAGACCATTGATGTGGTTGGTGGATTTAGCTGGACCACCTTTCAAGTCACATGCTTGGTTCACAAAGTACCCCCAATGGCATAATATTTAGTTTCAACAAGAGAATCTTACCAGCACACATGTATGCAATATCCATGTTCCCAAATCAAATTGCTGCAATGCCACATCCAGAACCTGTGATTTGAATTCTCAAATCAAAAACAATACACAAGAATTAGTCCCATGTTGAATGCAACACCCCTGAATGGCTGAGCAGGTGAAAGACATCTCCATGATTCTCACAGTTCAAACAACCGTATAGAAAGGAAAACTCTGCTGGAAGTGTCTCTGGGAGGAGCACGGCAATCCCCGAAAAAACGTTTTGGGTTTTGTTTTTGATCAGACCCAGTGATCCTCAGGATACCATCGGGGATGCCAAACATCGAAGGGAGGCGGTGTCTGTAAGGTAAACACCCTCTGTGATGCACTGCCATTCTGGTTCCAATTAGCTTCACTATAGGCTCACACTCACAGTTTCACATGCACGCAATAAAACACTTTTGGTTGGTCAAGAGTACAGCAGGTAGCCTTGCATGAGGCTGACAGGGGTTGATCCCTGAACAGCGCCGAAAGCAACTTCTGAGAACTACCAGGAATAACTGCTGGGAATCCCCAGGACACGAAACCAAAGAAAACTACATTTCTTTCTATACTCAAAGCACCATGGCATGATCCAAAGGCAAAGATAAGCATGGTGTCTGATTGAAAGAGCGGGGTCCAGTGCTCCAGAAAGGGCACCCGACCCTGTAGGTGTACAGTCAGGCTGGTTATACAGCCAGGGGAACAAGGACCTTGAAACTCATAAACTATTCCACATACCTGACAGATGAGGAAGAATAACAACAAAGTCAAGAAATCAAAGCGTAGGATTGCTCGGTAACAGACAGCTCAGGGGAGTGAAGGGCAGCATGAGCACAGCACAGACACCTGATCCAGGAGCCCAAGGACCTCGGGGTCAGCAGCATGTTTTACATGCTCTCAAGGCACCCACACAGTGCCCAGGGCCTCAGCCAGGGTCCTCAGACACTCAGTGGGACACACACCTCTCCTCCCCGGCTTTAGGGCTCCTCTTCCACCCAGGAGATTAACACTGGCTTCACCCCAAAAAGCCCTGTCCCCACAGAGATGGAAGCATGGATTAGTCACAAGGAAAAGATGACAAGTAATCCTCATGTGCCCCTGGTCTAACCGGCCATATTACTGAAAAGGCATGACCATAATATCCACTTTCAATATGCCAGAGATTGTTGGGGAGTGAGACATAAGATAAGGTTTCAATTTAAGAGTTAAATAATGGGGCCCCAGATAATACCACTAACAGTCTAGGCTTGGCCAGGCATATGGCTGACTTAAGTTTCATCTCAGCACTGTATGTAGTTTTGTTTTGGGGTCACACTTGGCAATGCTCAAGGGTTAATCCTGTATCCGCAATCAGGAATCACTTCTGATAGTATTGGCTCCATGGAAGGTCAGTGATTGAACTCGGTTTTCTTCGAGTAAGGACGCGCCCTCCGCACTTACGCTCTCGGAACCAAATGGAGTTTCTGAGCCCCTCCCAGAGTGGTCACTGAGTGCACAGTCAGGAGGAAATCCAAGCACCCATGTGAGGACAAGGATGGCAAGACCCCCAGCTTTATTTTAAGGTAAAAACAAAGGGAAATAGAAGGCGGTGTAGGCAGAGGTGGGGCAAAGTACTTGCCCATATTCAAACCAAGTTTGTGCCCTACCAGCCAGCCATGATCCCTGAGTGCAGAGGCCAGTAGCAAACCCTGAGTCCGACTGGTTTGGTCCCAAACAAATTTTAAAATCCGTAGAAGAGTCCAATGGAGGCAGGGTGACAATGCACAGGATTGGGGAATATGCTTTGCATGTGGGACCCTCTGACTTGATTCCAGGCACCATCTGGTCTCCTGGGAACACTGGAAGTGACCCTAAGCACTGAACAGAACATCAGCTGAGGGGGTTAGGCGCTAAGATATAAATGATCTTAGTGGACAGAGAGATGGCACAGCAGGGAGGGCGTGTGCCTTGCACACAGTCCAACCGGGTTTGATCCCATGTATCCCTTAAGGTCCCTGAGCACTGCCAAGAGTAATTCCTGAAGGCAGAGCCAGAGTAACCCCTAAACATCACTGATTGTGACCCAAAAGCCAAAAAGTAAATGAACGAAAATTTAAAAATTACAAGTAAAAGAACTAAACAAACTTGAGTCACACTTTTACAAATTATTACTCAAGTTAGAATCTTTGGGATTAGTGAGAAGATATTGAGCAGAGGGCGCTTACCTTGCCCTGGGCCGACACAGGAGGGAGCCCTGAGCAGAGATGGGTGTGGCCCACACTTCCCCTCTCAAATAAATAAAATGACATTTCAGATAATACAATAGGGGCTGGAGAGACAGTACAGTGGGGACAGTGCTGCCTTGCTGTGGCTGATCTAGGTTCGAGTCCCCACGTCCCATATAGTCTCCAGAGCTCTTCCAGAAGTGATCCTTGAGTGCAGAAGCAGGAGTCACCCATGCGCATCACCAGGTAGGTCCCCAAACAAAGCAAACAAAGCAAAAAAATTAAGTTGGACTCATAGCAAATAAAGCAAGTGCTAAGGAGATACTCCAGAAGGTCGGGGCTCGCCTGTGCCCTACACACTCTTAGTGCCCTGAACCTGCATCCCAT